GGGGGGGGGGATGGGAGCAGAGCCTCCTTTTTTATACTTTAGGTGGGGTAGACAGGGATTCTAGCCTCTTCCCTCTGACTTTTCCTTTTGCAAATTCTTAACTGCAGAATGGGGTTGCGGTGTAGCTTGTGTTCTCTTTTGAATTCGCCCTGGACCCTTTCTTGGTACGACTTTCACTGCTGAAGGATGGAGTGTGCCTTCCTCATGTGTGTGGAGCTGGGGCCGCCAGCCTGTGCAGAGGCATCGCTGATCCAGCTGCTCTTCCAGCCCTTCAGACAAGATCCTGTTTTAGCCAAATGCAGGGAAACAGTTTTTTTTGGTTTAATTTCCGTTTTGTTTTTCCGTAAGAGCCTTATTTTGAGCCCCATAGACAGTGGTGGGCGGGGCGGAGATAGGAAGCACTCATCCCCAGTCATCTATTCCAGTGTGTGTTTAACATTCACAGCCCAGAACCACAGACGTGTCTGGGGGAGCCTGGAAAGGCATTCCTCATCACCATCGTTTGCAAAGTTTAAAGATAAAGCAGAGACAAAAAACAAACAGACAAAAAAATCCAAACAAACAAAAAAAAACACAAGAAAAAAAGAGTCATCCCCTGGCCTCTGCTTCAAACCCCTTAGAGGGGAGGCGGCTCCGTGCACCTGGGGTTCCCTCTGGGTCCGCAGAGCCTTGCTTTTTGTCCCCAGCATTGTGGGATGGCACGGTGTTGGTAGGCTGTGGGTCTGGCCGTGTGGCCAAGGTGATGGGCACCCATCAGGGTGTGTGCCATGCCCCACACACCTCTGGGCCAAGCAGGGGCGCAGCTGGCCCTTCAGGTCCATGCCAGTGGGCCCGGTAACACATATCTGTCCTCGGAGCAGGGGCCAGATGACTCCCCTCCCTGGTTTGCAGCTGTTTTCAAAGCCCCTGAGAATCGCTCTTTTCCACTCCTTCAAAGATGCCCTCCTAAACCGATGTGGCAAGACTGCTGGACTTCTCTCAGTGGTCCTATACTCAGTCCTTATTATCTCTGCTTGCTGAGAGGCAGGCAGCGGCCTATTCCTCGGGCAGCACTATCTAGGTAGGTAAGTGGGGGCGGGAAGGGTGCATAGCTGTTTTAGCCGAGGGACTCGAGGCAGATGTCCCCAGGTCTAGGTAGGTGGTCAGGATCAACAATCCAGGGTTGGTAATGTTGGATGAGACATTCATTTTTACCTTGTGGATGCTAGTGCTGTAGAGTTCACTGTTGTACACAGTCTGTTTTCTATTTGTTAAGAAAACTACAGCATCATTGCATAATTCTTGATGGTAATAAATTTGAATAATCAGATTTCTTACAAACCGGGCCTCTGTCTCGGCTCTTTGCGGAACCAGAGTCTGGGCTCTCTAAGTCAGTCCCTAGGGATAGGTTCTGCCGATCTCCTGCTCCTCAGGAGACAGCGAGGCTGTCCTGAGGACCTGTGAGAAGACGGGCTCCTGGCCTGGTGCCCACTTTCTGATGGGAGCCTGAAGACTGAGCCACAGTGCGTGGAAGGAGCACCTGCCGTGGGCCGCGACTCCCCGGGCCAGAAGCACACCCCCTGCCTCTCCTCACCCCAACCATGTTCTGGGTCGCCACGTTGTGGGTACCAGGACTCCCCAGACCACACACATTCCCTTCCGTCGCCTCCTCCCTCTCTTCCTCCCCCGCCATAAGGAGAAGGATGGCACTGTGGCAGTGGAGGCCCAGAAGGTGTGGAAATTGGTTAGTGAGGACTCTGTAATTCTTGCAGTGTGGGTACTGGACACAGTGTGGCCGTCTGGCCCCTGGACACACAGTAACATCTGCAGTGGTCTCTCCACTGGTGATCAGATAAGTCCTACCAGGTTGTCAAACTATATGGAACTTCCGGGGACAGAAGACAAGCAAAACCCAGAACAAGTGAGGAAGAGAAATACCTGTAGTCAGCAGTGACCAGACTATAGAGAGTGCCACGATGAGCCCAATGCAGAGGTGCTGTGGGTGCACTGAGGCAGCACCTCACCCTGTGGCAGGATCAGGGAAGGCTTCCTGGAGGAGGTGACATAAGCTGGCTTCTGAGTGTTTCATAGGGTGAGTAAGGGTTACTTTCAAAAGATGGGAACAGCATTTCCAATGGAGAGAGCAACTTGTACAAGGGCTTGGAAGCATGAAACAGACCAACAAATACGAGAAACTACAAGGAACGCACATGATCCGGGTAGGGAGACATAAGGCCAGAGGTAGGCTGGAAGCAGCTGATGGGTTTGAGGTGATTGAGAATGGGATGCAGATGTCCCTGTTGGGTGACGTGCCTCTGTACTGCACTATGCCGCCTCCTTCGAGGCCCTCACTGCACTCTAGTGTTGCCAGCTGTCTCCCTGGGGGCTCTGAGTGACCAAGGCCTGGGATCGGGGCTCTTCTTGGTTTCCCTAGCTCCTAGCTCACTGCCGGGCATATGTCTATTTGTTAAGAAAAACAACACCATCATTGCATTACTTGATGATATTAAATTTGAATAAATATTTCCTCCTGAAAAAATGAGCCATTAAACATTTGCAAGTGAGGGTAGCTATCAGATTATCACTTGAGCGACAGCATACAAACTGCACCAGGCAGGCAGACAACAGGGCAGGTAAGCGCAGGTGCTGGGACCCACACGCACCTGGTTGTGTCTGCTCCAGAGTCCCTGCCCTTTGCGCCGGCTGGTGTCTGCCCCCCTCCCCTTGGCTGTCACCGCCCCCCCCTCCTCCCAACCCACTCCTCCAAGGCTCCGCATCCACGGGTCCCCAGTCAGGCATCCCTTCCTCCCTCACCACCACATCCAACTAATCTCCAAACCCTGCCCATTTGGCCTCTTCTGCACCTGTTCCATCCTCTGCATTCCCAGGACCACCCTCTCCTGCAGCCATGCCTGCTCCCTGGTCTGCCTGCCCCCAGCCCTGCTCCAGCCAGCCCATCCTCAGCACTGCAACCAGAGTGATTCTGTTGGCAGACGTGACCACGGCACTGTCCTGAGGAGACCCTGCCAGGGCCTCAAGAGTCGGCCCAGACTCCACAGGTGTCTGAGGCTGCAGGACCCAGCCTCTGCAGCCTTACCATTCCTCCTCGCCCTTGGTCCCCGCCTTTCCAGTCATGAACTGGTCTACTCTTTTCGTGCTTGCCTCAGCATTCTCAGCTCCAGAGCTTCCCATGAGCTATTCTGGAACATCTCCCCCTCCACATCTCTCTAGCTGGCTAACCTGGTCCTTACTAGTTCTTTCAGGAGCCATCCTAAATGAGGGTAGGTGACCCTGCTGTGCAAGCAATTTTAAATACATATTTTGCATGTAATCCTCACAACAATGTGTGCGGTGGGTCCTATTATGCCCGTTTTGTAGATGAGAAAAATCAGGTCTCATCCACTCATTCAACAAATACTTGAGCCTTTGGGAAGGGTGAGTCACATCAGTGCAAAGACTCCTGCCCTTGTAATGTTTATACTCTAGCAGGAGGAAATGTGATGCACACAAAAAATAATAAATGTATATATAGTTTGTTAGAAAGTGATGTGTCACGAGGTGGGGGGGGATTAGAACAGGCACATGGGGAAGGTTTTGTTACTAATCAGGGTGGTCAGAGGGAGCATCATTGAAAAGATGGAATTTGAGGAAAGACTTGAAGCTGGTGAGGGATTTTGCCTAAACATCTTCGAGATGAGCATCCAGGCTGAAGGAGCACCTGGGGTGGAGGCTCTGGGTGGGAACGTGCCTGATGGGTTGAGGCGGGTGTGCCCATGACACTGTGAGCAGGACGTGAGAGCAGCGGGAGATGAGGTCGGAGAGGAAATGGGCCAGCTTCTAGGCCAATGGGAGGACTTTGGCGGAAATAGAGGCATGGTGAGCAGTGGCCAGATACTGGTTCCGTCTTAGAGGCAGAACTAAGAGGATTTGCTTCTGGACTGGATGAGAGAAAGGAGTCAAGGTTGACCCCACAGTTTCGGCCTGAGCAACTGGAAGGATGAAGTTGTCATTTACTGAGATGCGGAAGCTGTGCGTAAGGGCTGAGTAACACTCCAGGCTCCCAGCTGGAATTGGTGGGTCTGCCTGACTCCGGGGCTCTTTCCCCACTGCTACCTGCCCATAGCTAGAGACCGAGTCACATGCACAGAGAAAAAAAATATTTGGAAATACACCAAGAGTTGTGAGGTTGGGTGATATTTTT